TTATTGTATTAATAAAAACAGTTTTAGTTCTTTGTAAAAACAATAGCAACCCAATCTTATTAGACACTAACTTAAACCATTCTACATTTTAAAATGTTGCTTGCTTCCATTTCCCTTAATGTGTGCATAGGTGTGCTACCTAATTAAGATTAATAAAAATAAAAATAACCTATACTGGTACCTGCATASTTCATAWTATATCATGTTATCGTCTCATTCGCCTCTATATAAAGATGACTTTTAAGTAAAATTCATGYTGTCGAAAAATTGATTTTAGAATTATTTTTACGTAATTTTAAATCATTACTAAACAARTTTGAAAAAAAATTATAGTATTTACTTATTTTAAAATATCTATTTAAGATTTTAATATAATAATTAGATAATTAATKATTAACTATTCTTATATTAAATARTTATTCGTGTATATCTATTATTACTTCAAAATTCAATCAATATTTAGCAGTTTAATTTATAAATTCTTGTTTTATAATGTAAATATTTAGTGTAATCGTAATCCTATATTATTCTTACAATACCAAACGTAGAAGAATATAGAAGTTCATAAACTGTAAACATTGTATGAAATATTTATAAAACATTACTGTTTGGTGCAATATACTTGTATTATATAGGTATAATAGTKTTATAATATGTATTTATTATTTAGGTATACAATATCACAACATAATAATAAAATGAAATCGATCTATGAAGACAAAATTACTGAGAATCATCAAACTGTTTTACTGGAGGATGTTGTACGATATGTAAACAATGATTTAATTTTTAATGTATATTATTGTCTACGGTGTACCTGTAAATGTAATARGTTTATATAATTGTATCTACAGACTACACGGTTGTCTACTTAATACTTATCTGCATAATATTTTATTTCCAAATGAAACCTTATTAGTTATTATTATTATACCAATGTCCAATACTATACTAATATCATACATTACAGATACTATATATAGCTACCTTATAAATTAAATGTTATTTTGTTTGATTGTTTATTATTCATATATTCATGTTCCACACTTTAAATTTAATATTATGTACTTTTTTGTCATCATTAGTGAATTCATTACACCATAACTGTAACCTGGACTCACTAGTCACTCCCATTTATACTTAATAAATAAATAAAAATAAATAGATGTACTAAAACTTAGAATCGTTAGCCGTTGAACTTAATGAAGATATATATATTACCAAATAATTATACACAAGTGTCAAGTACTTTAAATACCATAGGCAAAGTGTGAAAAAAACAATTAAAAGTTTTAATTAATTAGGTTTTAGGTATACTTATTAACTTAATTTTGCTACTTTTACATATTATTAATAAATAGAAATTTACAATACATGCATACTCGATGTACTCACAAATCACAATACGTAAATTCATAATGTATAATTAGATTTATTAATTGAATATATTAATATTTAACAAGATTTTAAATTGCAGTAAAAATTTAAAAATACAATTGGTTGCT